GAGGCAGATTCGATGGTAACGTTAGGTGAAGAAATTGGACATGTGAGTGTTCACATAGTATGATTCATGTCTACTCTGCTGTTGCTGCTGCTACTTTCCTGTAACCAATTTTAGAGCCTATCTTGGCAGCTGGAAGTATTTGGGATTAATTTCACACTCACTTTATGAGTTGAGCGTTTTCCTACAAGCAGCTCCCTGGGCCTCTGCCTCATTACTTTGGCATCAACTGATATGGTGGTTGGACAGAGTTGTCCTTTGGGGTCTCCATTTTATTTGGAAACCTTCAATTTGAAAAAACAAAACAAAGGCCATCAACACATTATGCTTGAAATCGTTAGCATTTATTGTTTCCTAAACTCCTCCTTTTCTGTACTTCTGTTGAACACTAGAGAACACACATCTTGCTCAGCCAGTGATGAGCCCTGAAAAATCACTGCTCCTCAAATTTAAGTCCTATCAGCTGGTTGGCCTCATTTCTCAGTTCAGGTGAGCTGTGAGATCTTTTAGGCCTTGGTCACACAGATCTGAATCTTGATGGTTCTAGTTTTTCCAGCCCTTTTTACTATGTTAATTCTGCTAAATTCATTTGGCTCTCATGGAGAACAAAGTAAACTTGGCTGTTACGTGTAAAACTAAATTGAGAACATGGAGATCTGTTTAGTATTTCATGCTGGCCAGTAGGTCAGGAAGATTTTCCTTGGGTGTAATTTACATAAGAAATTGTTTATCCCATTTCTTTCCAATTTCTGTGACCATTTGGGGATAGCAGACTCTTTCCACAATGGCACAGAAATCTATCCAATGAGACTGAGACTTAGAGAAATGCTTCTTCTCCTGGACTGATGTATTTTGGGCCTTGCTCAGGAAAGATCCTGCGGCTGGGCTGCTATCTCACTGAGAAGTAATTCTTCCACCACAGCTGTGTTTAGCAAGTTGGGTGGGTCCATGAACTGACATGGTGTTACACTTAGTGAGAATTTTCCCTTGATAGTGAGGAACGTGCATAAAAGCTTCATTTAAGTCCAGCAAATGCCCCAAATATTTATCATGGTCCGATCGCTGCTTAGAGTACAGTCTCCATCAGTAACGCCCATACTCACAATATTCAGTGGCTCCCCAGTGCCCGCAGCGTTAAGTGCATGCTCTTCACCCTGACATTCAGGCCCCTCTACAACAGTTGCCCCGCTTACCTTTTTAGTCTCGGTAAATACTGTTCCTGAACTGGAATGTTTGCTCTTCCCCGAACAGACAGCCTCTACTTTTCTGCTTTAATGCTTTGCTCAAGTTGTTTCCTTCACTTTTAAAGCCCCTTTATCCAATATCTATTCTTTAGGATGCATTTCAGGTACCTTTTCTTACTGGCCTGCTGGTAAACATTTAACAACAGGCTCTCTGGGGAGGAGGGGAAGGGAAGGAATCCTGACTTTTTGTAATATTTGTTGATTTCCAAGTTGTAAATGCTTCCACTATGGCCAATTTCAAGCTATCAATATGAGATCTCTGAATGCAAAGTTGGGAAGAAATGGACAGGAGTAGCTAATTGCAAAGTCTTTCCCACATACAGACACAGTAGGCATAAATAACCTCAAGAGTAATGAGTGTTAAGTGTTTATTACCTTTGTTTTTAATGTAACTTATTTAGTGTTAAGTTTATGTAATTTAATGTTTAGTAATAGCTGTGTTTAACAACTGGCTTACAAAATTCCTGAACATTGAATAGCTTCTTTCTCCTAATGTGGGAAGAGATAACCAAGCCAGCTGCTTCTTCCTCCACCTCTTCCTTCCTAAAGTCCTCCACACTCAGCTAGCAGTAGTGTGCCCATCTCTGAACCTACAAAGTGCTTAAGGTCTCAGGCAGGCTTTGGAGTGAGACAGTTTCCAAAGTTTGAATTGTGTTCTATCATTTACTAGGTGTATGGTCAGGCTGGCTACTTAATTTGCAGATCCCAGTGCAAAATGAAAATGAAGGGCCCTTGTTCCAAAGGCAGGAGGAAAGGGCTATTAAATCAGATACTGAAATATAAAGCTTTTTCCTTTCTTCAGTGATCTCTCTTTCACAACCTCTGATGGTGTTTTTTATTTCTTATTTAATATCTTTCCAAGTAAAGAAAAATTACTTAAAATTTAAATTTTAAATTATTAGCATGAATTTTACCATTAATCTTTATATTGTCAATGCCAGTTTTAAATGCAAGTATAAGAGCATTTAACCCATATAAGCAAATGCACGTAAGTCCTCTGTTCATGTGCATGCTCCCTTGTCCCATCAACTTCACTCACAAAACGCAAGTTCAAAAATAAAATTATTCAGAATTTCAAGGCAGGGACAACAAGACATTAAACCAAGCACAAAGCCTTTCTAGGGTTGGGCACAGTTTGCGTGCCCTGTGTACAGTCCTGGGCAAATTCTTTGGATTTGCTGAGCCTCAGAGTTCTATCTTTGAAAGAGATAATACCAAGTCGCACTGGAGGTGTGAAGATTGAAGGCACTGATACCTCTATGGCACAGAGCAGAATGCCTGGCATGCAGTCTATGTTTAGATAGATGGAGGATTGTCATTAACATAATAATCATAATGTTAATGGAATTCTCCTTTGCAGTCTATAGCTGTGGTACCCAACCCCTCCAACCCCACCCCCACTACTTCACCTGTATTTACAGCCATTTCCCATCGCTCACATCACTGCAGAAGCTCCGCCTCCTGTCAGATTAGCGTTGGCATTAGATTCTCATAGGAGTGTGAACCCTACTGTAAACTGCGCGTGAGGGGGATCTAGGTTGTGTGATCCTTATGAGAATCCAATACCTGATGATCTGAGGTGGAGCTGAGGCGGTGATGCTAGCTCTGGGGAGTGACCGCAAATACGGATTATCATTAGCAGAGAGGTTTGACTGCACAATAAACGTAATATGGTTGAATCATTCCAAAACCACTCCTCCCCAAAGTCTGTGCAAAAATTGTCTTCCATGAAACCGGTCTCTGATGCCAAAAATGTTGGAGGACTGCTGATCTACAGGGTCTTCCTTATTATGTGGACAATATTTACCTCCTTGACCTATTTTCCTTTCTCTATTATGAACTCTTTGAAGGTGGAGATTAGATCTGTCTACATTGAATTCCCTACAGTGCTTCCTGCAAATTCTTATACATACCTGGCACTCACTAGGTGTTTATGACCTTGATCTTTGTATGATTTGGAGTTTTTGACAATAAGCATCTATGTCATATTATGGCCCCACAATGAGGCTTAATTGGTAACATTCACAAGAAGAAAAAGAGTATAAACTTAGACTTTAACAGGAGTCAGTTGTAATCATGGTGAGGGTGGGGTGAACCACATGATTCCAGGTGTTTTGGTTTAAGGAAAAGTGGCCTTTCTCCCTCTTCGAGGGGACTTCTTGAAGTAATGGGGAAGGGATGAGTTCCAAGCTCCATTTGAGTAAAAGAGGCCCCAGGGATATTAACTCTGGCCCACAATAATCCCTCCCTTTGCTAACTTCTTTCACATTTACTTTCTGTTCTGCACAATTAGGACATTATTATATTAATAGTAATGTTTCTTTCTACTAATTGGTTGTATATATATGGGGTTTTTTCCAACAAGCTGTAATATCATTGTAGGCTATAAGAATATTGTGTACTTCTTTTGAACACTAATGGAAAGTAGCGCAGAACTAGGCACATAGTAAGCAATGCACTTCATGTAATACTGGTCTTGGTTCAAACTCCCATGACTCCCTATAGAGCCCGATGTGAATTGTGATTGCCTTCGATGACTCCCACAGGCCCTCAGCCAAGTGGCAAAGAATCCTGGTCATCCCAGCGTTTTCAGACAAGGACCTTCAGTGCTCTGTCTTTCCCTAACCTGTATCTCTTTTTCAGTGTCTCCCAAACACGCTGAGGACTGTTCCCCTACGGCCCCTCTCCCCACATGATATTTGGGAGACCACATAGCTATACACTCTACTCATTTGAATGATGACTTTTTAAGAAGCCCTTTGGGCCTGTGTCAATAAACCATGAAATATCACCAAATGGATTATCTGCAGCAGACTTCCGAAACTCCTCTCAGCTCTCGTCCCTCAAGCTGGTGGGGGCTTGTAGAAAGGAGCTCACATTGCCCTGTCATTTGCTGTTCCTGTTCAGGGGACTGTCAGATGCCTCGAGCTTCTGGGGCAGTCAGTTCATTACTTTTAATGAGCACACAATTCACCAAGACATTAAAATAAAACAAAACACCAATGGGAAGTCTTGGATGTTCCATCCAATTGTTGCTTTAGTTCTTTTTTCCACAGGATTATTCAAAAGGATGAAAAAAAAAGCCAATTCTATTCACTCCTGCCAATTTTATCCTAAGCAGATTTGGCATTGTAAAGGTAACACACCCTGAACTTTTTTTTTCTTTCAGGTCCCTGTGGGCTGGTGCCTCACATTTGTGTTAAAAATGGCATTCCTCAACTGATCAAATGTTTGAACATTATCTACTTTTTAGATATAATAAGAAATATCGGATATCCCAATACTATGGTAACATAAAAAAACTAATATCAGAGGAGGACAGTTATTTTCTGAAAAAGGTATAATGAAGTTATTATTTTGAACTACAAGGCAAATGCTATTATTTTGATAAGAATATTGATCAATCTTTCTGGCTAATAATAAAGACTGTGATAACTTTATTAGAGGTTACTTATATTTCCATATATTGAAGAAGGTCCATTGACGGTGAAGCAGACACTGAACAATGTCCCCACTAAACTGATTCCGTGGATATTTTCATCTCCTGGCCATATGGATTTGGAATTACTCTGAGCATTTTTTAAAAGAAGGAAGTGAGCAGATGAATGATAACTCTTTTACTACTCAATATAGCTTGTGTTTATGGAAGACAAAGTTCGTCAAGATGTTTTAAAGAAAAACAAAAGTGTGCCAAATGTAATTTGTTGAGGGCTCAAGAATTCTGAAATTGTCCCTAACCGAAGTTTGTAATTTCTACAGGTAATAGCTCTAGCAGATGCACTAGAGGAAAACCAAGACAATCTGTTCCAGTCATTCAACAGGCTGAAAAGTGCCACTCATTTGGTGATTCTGCTGATTGGGCTGTGGCAGAAGCTCAGTGCTGACCAGACTGCTATTCTGGAAGCAGCATTTCTGCCACTGCAGGAAGACACTCAAGAATTGGTAAGGACTCACAAGCCTGCAGTGGGAACAGCCAGCATTAATGAAAAAAATTTGCTTTTAAGAAGATATCACATAGCTATCATGTTTTTCTAAGGTATCAAATGAGGGCTTGATTTTTTTACAAAAATGCTGTTTTCCTTTTCTTTAAACCATAATAAAAATGTCAAACGAAGGTCTTTTTTCTAAAGCTATTTTAAAAATAGGTATATAGTCTATTTTTATGTGGTATCCAGGCTATGTTTTATGTGTTCTTCAATCACTTAGAAGCCAGGGAAACAGTCGTTTGGCGGCCTGAGTGACGACAGTAACCTTCAGATTAGCTAATCCTTTCCTTTTCCTCCAGAGAAAACACTCTGGCCATTTTAATTTGCACAACCTCCTTAAATTTAAGTGTCACTTCAAAGGTTAGAGAGAACTGAGATAGCCTTGCTCAAAATGATGGGATCCTTACATTTATAGAGTTATTTATATGTAGTTTTAAAACTCTTACTGTCGACCCTAGAATAGGTAGTTCGGAATGAAAAAAGAAATGAGGATGGTATTTGGAGTATTCAGTGAAGGATTATATAAGTAAAAACATCTCAGATCCCTTGAATTGTAGATGTATATATGACCATCAGGTGCCATTCTGGGGGATTTTTTGTGTGCCTTAATTTACAAAGAAATAGTATATGTCTGAGTAATTAGAGACACTTGAACTTAGTTTTTTGTAATGGAGGAAAACATTTCAAGAGAAAATCATTTGAAATCCATTTGAGTACAGAGTACTAAAAATAAAAGTATTAAAACTAACATGTTTTTGAGTGTTTGTTAGGTACCAGATGCTATTTTAAGTGTTTCGTAAGAATTATCTCATTCAATCTTAAACATGACCCTATATGATAGTTAAGATACCGTGTTCATGCCGATGTTACATATGGGAAAATTTAGGCTTTGAGAATTAAGTACTTTTCTAAAACTAGTGGGCAGTAAAGCCAAGGCCCAAGTCAGTCTACCTGAATTTTAATGAACAACGTCATGAACATAATTTTGAGAATCATAAGTTTTATCAGCTGAATTGAATCTTTTACAACTGGGTCAAAGGATTGTCAGATTTTTTGAAAAAAAGAGAAGCTATATTTTATGTCCTACACAAAATACTAATAAATAAATTGGAAAAAATTTAGAATGGATATTTTTTAGTGATAAATAATATAAGGAGATTGATAAAATTACAACTAAAATTGGCCTTTGAGAAACTAGAAATGAAGACACAACTGCAACACTAGAAAATAAAGAATGGTTAGGATTATGTTAAGGGGCATATTAATAAGAATGATGGCTATCACTTATGGACTCAGAAAAGGCGTACATAGCTTCAGTTCCTGGTTCTACCACTTAATGACAAAATCACTGTGGTGTAGTTTCTTAACTGTTCTAAATCTCTGCTTCTGTAGCTGTTAAGATGGAAACAATAATAGGACCTACCCAGTAAGTTGTAATTGGAATTAAATGAGGTAATTGGGTAGAATGCTGAAGGTTAGCAATCATTATTGGAAGTGGTTTGTACATTTTATGTATATTATTTATATTTCTCACTGAAGTCATGGAAAGTAGGTATTATTACCTTTTCATGGTTATTTGTCCATCTCCACAACTAACACTAGACGGCAAGAATAATATCTTATTCCTTTTTATATCCTCAGCACCTAGCACAATGCCTGAGCATAGCACAGTGAATATTTGTTGGGTGGATGAATGGAGAAGAGGGTGAAAACTAACAAGTGGTAACCCAGCAGAACAGATACAATAGATGCGATCTGTAGCATGAGGAGGAGGAAGGTTAGGGCCAGCCACAGAATTTGCAGGGCCCAGTACAAAACGAAAATGCAGATGCCTTGTTCAAAAAGTAGGGGAATAGGTGCTAAAGTTCTATTAAAACAGCTACTAAAAACAAAGCTTTTTTTCCCCACAGTCTGTTTCTCTTGACTTGTCATGTGCTTTTTTTAAATTTCTTTTAAAAAAATATTTTAATTATATAATATTTTTTTTTCATGGCAATGTCTGGGGTTTTCATGCCCATGCCTGGGATCATGGTGTTTTTTATTTGCTATTTTATGTTGTTCTCAGTAAAGAAAAATTCAAAATTTAAATTGTTAGTATGTAGTTTACCATTGATCTTTATAATGTGCAGTGCCACTTTGAAATACAAGTATGAGAGCGTTAAGCTCATATGTGGAATCAACAACATTACACAATTTGTATTTCATAGCTTGTATATACACATGTATTTTGTTCTTACCAAACTATGGAATTGCTGCACAAGACTTAATTGTTTTTATTTCACTTCTTGATATGTCCCCATTTTCCAGTGCTCTCTACCTTCAGCTTATTGATGAGGAAGGAAGGACTGAAAGGAAAAGGAACTCTGTGTCACTCTGTCTTCTCCTTTCCTTCTATTTTATCATTTTTAGTGTAAGTGATTGGATAATACAGGGGAAGTAACAGGAGTAAGAAAGGTTATAATGCCCTTCCTTAGTTATTTGTGTTACTTTGAGTTCTGTTGGCTTCTTTCTTCATTCAAAATGAGTTCTGGTTGTAATGGAAAGCCTCCCAAGGCTGTCCGTGTCCCTGCTTAATCAGTCTGGATGTAACACGCTTTCCTTGTACTTGCTTTGAGTCTCCCTGAACCCCCACTCATCATGGGCCACAGGAATTCTGAGCCTGTGGGGCTGCATGTGAATGGGGCAGAAGGAGAGAGGGGGCACACATATGGCACATATCCTCCCTTCTCATGCACATGCTTCATTGTCCCATCAGACTTCACTTACTAAACACAAGTTCAAAGATAAAATTGTTAAGAATTTCAAGATGGTGACAACAAAACATAAAAGCAGGCATGGGTATGAGGGAGAGTCCTTCTGAGCCCAGGGCCCTGTGCAGCTGTACAGCTTAAATGCTCATGAAGCTGAGCCTAAAGCCTGGTTAGACTCAAAGGAAGAACTTACTAGAAATAAAGCTTCTAAATATAGGAACACAGGAGAGATTGTGGCATTTCCTACTCAAAAGATCTTAAAAACAGCCTTATTTGTCTGGAAGTATACAAATATGTTCATCCCTGTAGGCAGGTGAAGGGACTTAGCCTCTTCTCACCGCCCCTTTCTACCCTGTCTCTGCATTCTCTACTGTCATATGTCCCAAAACATGTAGAGGAAAATTCTTTCAGTTCTCTTCTGAGTTTGATAACATTAGGTGTGTGTACTTCTTATGTCTATTGGAGTCATTAATGAGACAAGACGTTTGATAAAAACATAACTTGGAGAAGAATGAATCAAAAAAGACATTTTAATAATGCTTGTTATGCTCTTCATCTTTAATTAGGTTGTGGTATTCACTTTGGACTTATACTGTTGAGACAGCTTATAAGTCTTGAGAAAAAAGGAATCCTTTTTCATTCTTTAAGACATACGCATACAGTATGTGGTTTTGACATGCTAGTTCACAATCCCTCACATTATGCCTTTAGACCTCACAAATAAATGTTATGTGATGGGTATCCCACTGAGATGTGAAAATGAAATATGCAAACCTGAAATAACTTGGAAGGAGGGTGAGGCGGGGAAGAAAGGAGTCTCTTACCAGAATGTTGAAAATATATCCCATATTGAAGTTATTATGATACCACAAAAATCTGAATGTAATTTAGATGGTTTGGTTGAGGGTGGATGGCGGAGTACATGTGTGAGGGGGAGAACTTTAGACATGTGGACAACATTTTCAGAAGAGACTCTCAGCTCAAGGTCAGATGTCCCCACAAGTATTGAGAGTTAGAAGAAAGTGCTCAGGAGATGTTTTATTTACATTTCAAACTACTACGCATAATGGATTGTTGTGTTGTTGTTTAGATGGCGTGTGTCGAAAGGCAGGCTAAATGCAATAGTCATCTTTGGAATATTTTCTCCCTAATGGCATCAGGTTCACAAAGCAAACATATTTAGAATTTACTATTGCTAATGGAAAGCAATGTTCTTCACACTATATTATCAGTATTTTGTTTAAAATACCATCATATTTGGAACAGAATTCATCATTGTTGTCTTTGATCTGTCTTTTTAGTAATGCTTTTCCATTTTTGTCACTTCTCAATACTATTTTTGGGTTAATAAATGCTGGTATTGCAGACTATTATGTGTAATTTTTTTTAAGGTGCTGAAAGTTATATATGCCAGATGTGTTTTTGTGGGGATACCCCTTTTCACTTTAAGAAACACATTAGACATTCTATTTGGTGTCTCCAAAAAGAGCTCTTAAACTCAGTTCCATCGGTGGATTTAGTAATCTGGTATTGTCCGTACCATCTTCCTCTGATGATGAGGAAGTATTGCCCAAAATAATGTTCCATCAGAGTATCTGATAGGGCAATTTTAAAATGAATTGTTTTCATACCTTTCAGGTTAGGGACTGAGGATATTTCAAAGTATCTGAACTCTTAATGCAGAATTTAAATATGTTCCTATTGACCATCTACTTGAAGTTCTATGGAAAGTACTATGTCTACTAAGGTCAGTGAAGGCTGTGTTACTGGTTTGAGTCTGAGAGAATGTTTAATTGTGATATTTCATCACATCTTCCTCTAATGATGCTGCATAGAAGTCAAAAGCTGTAAAACCATACATACCTGAGGATTGGCCTAATGGGACAAATCTTTTATCCAGTCATTTACTTATTCAGTGAATATTTATTGAGCACCCACTATGTGTTAGGCAGTGCTCTGGTCACACAGCATACCTCGGTAAACAAAACAGACTTAGAACCCACCCTTTGTGGATTTACTTCAACATTGCAAGCCAACATTCTAATCCCGTACTGCCTAATATGGTAGCCACTTGCCACATGAAATTTAAAGAAAGTGAAATAAAGTTAAAATTAAAATCTCACTGGCTATATTTCAACTGCTCAGTAGCTACACGTGATGAGTGGCTACCACACTGGATAGCCTAGATATAGGACATTTCCCATTG